AACAAGAGTATTTTTATTATATTTGTTCAAAAAATTCGTTATATTAAGAGTTCGCTATATCAAGAGTTGACTGTAATGATAAATTAAAATAGCTAACAATACTTATAATATTTTTTTTTTGATATTATCTTAAAAAATTCAAATTTTTTAAAAATATCTTTAATAATTAGATATATTTAATAAGTTATAAAAATATATAAATTTTATTAGAATATTTTACCTTTAATTATTATTTATTAAATTATAATTATAATTTAATATTTAATCATTTTAAATTAAATAAAAGCTTAATATATTAATATAAAATACTTGTATATTTTTTAGCAAAATTTGATACTAATAATTATTTGAATCTTATTTTTTAACATTATCTATTATATTTAAATAAAATGCTTTATATCTTCAATTTTTAATCATGATTATTTTTTTTTTCTTTTTTTACTTTTTCTTTATTACTAATATTATGTGTTTTTTAAATTAAAATTTTATTTTAAGAAGTAATAAAAATAATTTTAAAAAAATGCTCTTAATTAATATTAGTTTAACTATTAAAATTGCTATTATTTTAATTTATCATTAAATATAACTTTTAAAATTAATTTTAATTTATTTATAAAATTTAAAAGTATTCTATTACTTATTGCTTATTATTAAAGTTTAATATAAATATAATAAATTGAAAACATCTTTTATTTTCTATTTTCTATAAATATAAAAGAAAGAGCATTATAAGAAATATTAAATTTTTGATAATAAAATGATATATAATTAGTATTAATTATTTATTTCATAGTAGTCATAAAAAAATTAGATAATGATTAGTATTTATTTTTATAACAAAATTATTATTAATTTTGATAATTTCTTTTATTAAAAAGATTTTTTTTCATTCTTTAGTATATGACATAAAAGAATTTTCTTTTATTATCATTATATTTCTATTTAAAATTTAAATATTTTTTAATATACTTAATATAATTTTACTTTTACTTTATTAAAAATAAAATAATTAGATTTTATAAGTATAATAGATAATGTATTTTTTCATATATATAATCAATAAACAGTTTTATTATTTACTTTTAGATTATTTAATATAATTAGAAAATATTTATAAAAATTATATTTTTTACTTATTTAAAATAAACTTAATCTAAAAAATTTTTAGTTCAAAATAAAATTATAAAAAAAGAATCAAATTTTCTATTAAAAATTTTTATTTAGATTTGATTACATTTTTATAAAGTAAATTTTTTTACAATTTTTTCTTATTAATTAACTAATAAAATTATAATTCTAAATAATTAAATTATTAAATTATTTTAAATGATTTTGATAATCTATTTCATTTAAGTTATGAATTATTTACAAATAATCTGAATATTAAATGATATAAAATGATTAATCATTTTAGTATGAGTTATTATTGAAAATTGATTAAATAATCTTATTATTTATTATTACTGCTATATATATTCTTAAATATAGATAATATTAATATTATAAAAACTTTTAGTAAACTAAAAATATAATAATCATTTATATAAAATGTATAAATGTTATAATGTTAAAAATTATTTTGCAGATTATATATAATATAAAATTAAAATATAAAGTTTAAACCTTTAGAACAGTTAACAAAAAAAATACTATATATATCAAATACTTATTTATATCAAATTTGAAGAGGATAAAAATTAATAAAATTAATAAAATTATTTATTAGTTCTATTTTTCTTTTCAAATATAGATGTTATAAATAAATAATATAAGATAAATATTTAAAATTAAAATAATTTTACCATTACTTTACAAAATAATATGATAAAAAATATTTTAAAAGGTGATGTTATTTTAGATAGTAAAGTAAAAAAGATTGGATAAAAAAAATTTAAACTAATGCTGATAATTTAATTTTTTTTTTTTTAAATTAAGGTATATGTGAAAAAATACAATTACTTTTATAAGAAAATAGATAAAAAGATTAAAAAAATAAAATAAATACAGTTGTCTCTCTTTATAATCACACCTCTTAAGACTAAATTAAAAAGTGTGATTATAATAAAATTGACTATATAGGAGGATTTTTATATATTATTACTAAGTATTAGTTCTGAAAAGATGTAACTATAAAAATACTGTAATTATAAAGAGATTTTTATATAATATTAATAGATACTAGTTCTTATAAAATATGTACTTATAATAATAATATGATTATATAAGGGTAACTATAGAGGAAATGACTATATAACTTATTTTTTAGCATTTTCTAGTATCTCATTATAGTGAATCTATAATTATTTATATAAATCTTTAAATTTTGCTAAAGTTTTATTACTATTATATAGTTTTTTAAACTTCTCATAACTCACATATTTTTTAATGTATTATTCTGTTTATTAAAGCAAACTTTCTTATTTAGATCTTATAAAATATAGTTTGAATTATTATTTTGAAATATAATTTTATGCAATTTATTTTAAGCTTATTTTTGACTATATGTATTGTAATTAGAATAATATAAATCTTTTATTATAAAGAAAGCTTATTATTATTTAAATTTACTGCACATCTATATTTCTTTAAAATTTAGTTAAAAAATATTAGCATTGGTTTGTAATATTTTACAATTACAAAATCTTTGTGAATAGTAAATTCAAGGGCTAAAGGTATTGGTAAATTATGAGTAATTCTAATAGATTTAATCAGAATAGTAGTAAAATCACTAAGATCATATATTTTAGATTTATTAATTTTAGTATAATGATATTATTCATAAATTTTATCTAGTTACAACAGGTTAAGTTTATTTTAGCAGTTAAATTTCTTGATAAAAATTATTTAAAAATGATGGAATGAAAATACCTACATTTATACATTAAACAATGTGTAACAAAGCTTTAATAAATGATATAATATTATTTATTTAATTTGAAATAAGCATTATGATGCATGTTTGGAAAAATGATTTTAAATTTAGCATTATCAGAAATATATTTTTAAGGAATATTATATGATTGAAGGGTTGTCATAATAAATTATGAAATAGTAGAATTATCAACCTTTTTGAGATGTGTTGTTTCAACTAAATTTTTTTTTTTATATCTTTATTACAAACATCAGTTATTTCATCAACTGTAATAGCTCTTTAAACTTGTCTATATAATATCAGTAAATATTTTTCTCAAAGTTGTTTATCTGCTTTTCCATCGGTATATCCGTAGCTGCCAACACTTGAAAAGATCCACATTTAATTGCGCCTTTTCAGATAAATATTTAAATTTTATTTGTAAAATTTCTTTGTTTTAATGAAATAAGGTCATTAAGTGTAAATTGCTTTACAAGCGCACAAATTAATAAATGCTATCAACAAAAACTCTTGTTCAAATTCTAGTGTTGAAAGTGGACCTTGTATTCTATTATTTTCAGTAACCATTTTCGCAAATTTTTTTAATCAATAAAGAATAAATATAAATAATTAAAATTGTTTTAAACCCACTCTTCGGGGGAATTAAAAGAGGCATTCGATCTTCTTATTTACAATTCTGCGAATCCTCCTTGAAATAAAGAAAGTTTCAGAATTTTTAATCTTGTAAGTTTTATTTTCATTTGATTCGTTCTAGATCGTAAGTTGTACAATGAACCATTCCAAAATTTAACTTTTACCAAGACAAAAAATTTAAAATATCGCGGAAGAAAACATTTGTGTGGCGTAAAAGCAACCAAACATAAACAAAGGTAGTGTATCAATACGATAAACGGGTCTTTGCAAAGAAATAAGGTTCCGGAATTTTCTGAAACGTTTAATGGATCACAAATTTCTGATTGGAACACAATCGCTGATCACGTGATTACAAAGAACAAAGTGGATGATTGGATATATTATTATTTATTATAATTATCAAAGATACATTGGAAACGCTTTGGTATTGAAAAATGTGATTAAATAATGATAATAGAAAAAAGAAGTTTATACTATGAGACAATTCAAAAAGTATTACTAGAATTATTTGAATTATTTTATTTGAATGAATACGCCTCACCAAAAAGTGGCCAGTTATTGGCTCGTTATTCCCAAAGTCACATGAATTTGGCAATTCTTTAATTATCGAAAGGGTTACACTAATAAATTCCAAAATATTATGCTAATAAAAAACGCACGCATGATTTGAACCAGTAGTTTTCGCCACGCATTAAAAATTGTTCCAAAAAAGGAAACTTTTGCACGTTAGTCGGGTCAATCTTATATTACTTGTTTTCAACACATTTCCAACTATTCATCGTTCCTTTCTCTTTTCTTCAACATATCCTTTCCTCAACATATCCTTTTCCTCCAACATATCCTTTCCCACTCCTTTTTCTCTCTCTTCTCTCTCAATACCCTTAACACTCTTTTATTTTCTTCCAATTATTTCCTTTGCAGAAATTGCAAAAAATTTTATAGCTTTGTTTGACCAGATTTATCATTATTTTTTTATTTTATTTTTTAATTTTTTTTTGTAAATAAAAAAATCTGATATATACACATAATAATAATAAAAAAAAAAAAAAAATAAGATTATATCTGTTTCCTTAAGTTAGCTCGAAACCATAAAGCTGCTTTTTATGTGTTAGTTTTGGTCGAGCTATTGAGTAATATAAAAAAGAGCAAAAAGACCGACAAACGAATAATCAATCAACATTCTTTTCACCTGAAATTACGACAAATTTTAAAAAAATGTGTTTTTGTAAGCCATCGAAATGGCAAAATGAGCGAAAAGAAATCCAAGATCATAAATTTGATTTTGTAGATATAGAAGAATTTTATGAGAAATCATTTATAAGGAAGTTTAAATATAGTTTAGTTTTTCTTGTGGTATTAAAGACAATACTTGTATACGTCGCAGATTTATGGACAGCTGGAATTCTATTGATATTTGATAGATGGGGATCAACTATAAAACCGAAAATTCCGTTTTTTGTTTCAAAATGGATCTACGTTATCGCTATTTTAATGTCATTTTTCATATTAGCTTGGGATATAAAGAAAGCTTGGCCTATTATAATTTCAAAGGATATTTCGTATACATTTACAAGTCTTGTTGCAACAAGATTCTATACATTAAGAAGTTATGCACATTATTGTTTCTTTTGTCAAATTCAAGAGTCAACGAGTTTAGCTGACTCCGTAGCCTTTTTTATATACTTTACATCTAAAGGTAATCTTTTTTTTTTTAAAAAAAAAAAAATAAATAAATAAAAAGGAGAAATAAAAAAGATTCATTGATGATTTTCTAACTTTCTCTTCGTATTTTTTTTTTTAGGATGGAAACGTCTGATACTTGCAGAGTTGCCGCGCCAAGCCATTAATGCTATAACACTTTATCCACTTATTCAATCCAACAAGACCCGAAGATATTGGGATATTACAGCTTATGGAGATACCATAGTTCAACGACTTGCTATGGCCTTGATGGCCTTTACACTTATCGTTTTTATTCTTTCATTCTCCTTACTGATCTTAGCATTTATCATGTATATTCCACTTTTGTGTCATATTAGAGGAAATCTTAAAGAATATTGTTGTCATAAAGTAGATAAGAGGTAAAGCAATGGATTAATTGGGCGACCTGGATTTTTTTTTTTAACTTTTTGTACGCGAAATTTTTATTGAAATATGTTTATCTTTTTTATAGAATCGCATTTTTACTTAAAATGAAATCTAAAAAACGTGTCGAGAAATATAAACAGCAAGCAGAAGCAGAAGCTAAAGGTGATTACAGTCATTTGAAGAAAAGAGGCGATACAATTATACGACATAAAGAACCTACACTACCCATCTTTGATGACTATAACCTCAAAAAACCATTAAATTCACATTTGGGAGTTCCACCGCCATATGTTTCGAGACCTGGTTCACCGGCACCGCCATATATTTCAAGACCAGGTACTCCGGGTTATCCTTCAAGGCCTGGTACTCCAGGTTATCCCGTAAGAGTAGGGACACCTTCCTTGAACCCTGGAATGCCAGGTTTTCCATCTAGACCGGGCACCCCAGGGTATGGACAGGTGAAACCTTACGCTCCTCCACTTCCAGTTTTGACGCGACGTAATAGCGTCTCATCTATAATGTCTGGAACCTCTGCTTCAAGTACATCATCATATGGTTTGGCTGGACCTGGAGGATATCAACATCCTCATGGTCCTCCTAGTAGATCACCGACGCCGCCGGCAACCCAACCAAAGCACGATTACGATCATAATTTAATTGCGCGAGCTGTATTTAAGAGTGCTGAATTAGGACTTAGACAATCTAATACGCCCTCGGATTCGGGCAATGATGATGATTTAAACTCTGAATATGGTGGATCTCAATCATCTTTAGGTGACAATACAACTACAAAACCCTTATTAAATAGATATAACGAACAAAATATATATCGGGCATCCTCATCGGTCCGTTCTTATTCTCCTGCATCATCAATATCTTCAAGGTCATCGAATCCTAGATCGCGTACTCCTCCTATTGGATCTCATGGAAATGTTCCCTCAAGATATAAACATGATCACAGGACACCTAGATTTAATAATTATACACAACAAGGGGGCGGGCTAAATAGAAATTAAAATGATGTTTATATATTAATTATTTATTTTTAGATTATTTTTTATAATGAAATTTTTTTTTTTTTCGCTTCAAAATATTTCTTGAATGAAATTGTATTTATATTTAGTAAATTTGTAATTTGTGAATTGTTAAATTATAATAATTATTTTGAAGTTTGATGGTTCATAATATTTATTATCGATGTGAATGATATGAGATTAAAATACCCTTTGTTAATATTTTTATGAAAAATAAATTATATATATCTATTCATATTAAAACTACTTGATATAATATGAAATACAGACTAAATATTTTTAATTTTTTACAATTATTACAGTTTCGGTAAGGTTCATGTGAAATTATACTTTATTTATACAGGTTCAGTATGGCGACATCCTATTATTAGTTAGATCACCTCCACACATCGAAATGTATAAATGTATAAACAAACATCCAGAATCAATTATTTTTTTTTTTTTTTTAAAAAAAAAAAAAATTTTTTTCAAATGGTAAAAAAGCTTCGTGAAGGTTGTAAAACACAGCGCACACCAATTCAAGTTACAACTACGGACGGTGATCCCTCAACTTGGCCAGAAACAAACCTTCGTATAAGAAGTGGTTACTACGCATTCTTCTATTATGAGGTCGTTGAAGATAGTCCAATTTACAGACAATGGATGGAAACACTTGGTGATGCTATTTCAGAAATTAAAGTAAAAGATGATGGTATATTTTTAAATGTTTTTAGATTCAATAATGATGAAATCCTTTTCGTGATCTAATCGTTATCTTGTTCCATGTTCATCCAGAGTCTTTTATCTTGCAAGGATTTCCTTCCGGGTACAAACTTTTCTTCCACGCGAAATATCCGGCATCATCAAAAATTAAGCGTTTATCCTTACCTATGACCGCCGTGCATCATACTGCTGAAAAGAATGGATTAATTGAACGGACTGACATATACTTATTTGGTAAAATTTAGTTAACGTTTCGATAAAAATAAAAATAATAATGAAAATAATAAAAAATAAATGAAATTAAAAAATTTTTTGATCAGGATTACCTAGTGGAAGACGTTTCAGATCGAAAAATGAATTTATACCGCATTTAAAATGGTTACACTCGGGAAAATCGGGAATTTGTGAATGTAAATATTGTAATAAAACGACCAGAAAGCAAAAGCAGCCCACAAAAAAGTTGTGTTTAAAGCCTACCATCAAGCATATTTCAAAGTTCTCTTCCAAGAAACTTAAAGAGGTCAAAAACAAAGAAAAGAACAAAGAAAAGGACAAAATCTTGCGTGCAGATTTGGATCGTGCAACCTTGTCGCTTCTTTTTGGTCCAGTGTATCGTCCCAAAGAGATCGTTTGGATAGTTGGACCAAATCAAACTTTGATGAGTAATAATTCGGATGAATCACCTAATGAAAGGAATACTGAGGAATATTATAATTGGCCGGGATATGTGATGAGCATTTATGAACCGGGGGAAAGGTCGTCAGATTTTACACTTGTACGTGAGACAATTTATGAAATACAACTCTTGGCAATGGATAGAATAAGATATTATCCAGAGTCATCGTTGATCCCATGGATCGCACGTAAAGTCAATCCGGCTATGACAAGCCCCGGTGCTGACCCACTCATAGATGTACTTTTCAGTGAGTCAATCAAGATTGCCGTTGCTTGTCAAAGGTCGTACTTAATGCAAAAAGAATATAAATTCAAAGTAAGCAATGACGTTATTGCATCAACCGAAGATAAAGCACAAAAAAAACGGCTTAGAAACGCCAAGAAATGCCCGCATTATGATGAAATGATATTCGGAAATGAAGTAATCCGTTCGAATGATTTGATTAGATTGACTGTAGAAAATGATGATGATGAAGAACTAAATTCCGCGTCGTCTTCATCATCATCGAATAAATTTCAGGAGATGGAATTATTTAGAATTTGTACTATGTATAGACTTGCAAATGATCGAATCCAATTTACGGGAGACTTATATTTCAGGAAAGATGAAAATGAAAATATTAAGGATTTGGGAATGAGTGAGGATGATGAAAGGTGGCAAGGGACGCTATCAATTGGAAAGTACAAATATGTCCCAAGGAATTTTCCACAAGAAGAATATACGGTTGATATAGAAGATCTTGCAGGTCGATTCTACATAGACTGGGAAGATTTTGTCGGGGTAATGAATCCTACTGAGGAAAAGCATTCCAAGTTCCTTGAAGGTTATCCTAATGAAATCAATGATCGAATGCAAATTCAGGGGGAAACGACACCAACATTGCATTTCGAGAATCATGAAGCGACACCAACTTTGCATTTCGAAAATCATGAAACGACACCAATATTGCAATTCGAAGCGACACCCGTATTGCAATTCGAGAATCATGAAGCTATACCTATGTTGCAATTCGAGAATCATGATAGTTTTGATGAAACAGATTCTCAGATGAGTGATGTTAAATGTTTAAATGAGGATTCATTTTTTGATTTTAGTGCGATGGATGATGATAGTGATACTGAAGAAGTTGAACTTGATCTTAAAATGATGCATCGAAATTCATTACTAAGACGAATCGATTTAGATATCAACGCGATAGCCGATGAGACAGACATGAATAACGTTGAACTTGATATTACAACGATGCATCAAAATTCATTGCCAGGAGATGATGGAGATGACGTTGAGCTTGACCATACAATGTTGCATCAGGACTCATTGGCAAGTTCGTTCGGTGCTGTATCTTTAGACTTAAATGAGAATGATATGGATAATGGGACTGAGATCGATAACGTAGACCTTACAATGATGCATCATAATTCATTGCGAGCTTTCCAGATTTATGAACACGAACATGAAGCAAAATTGCCGGAATCACACCCAAAGCAATCCAAGGTTGAATAACCTTTTAAACAAAGTTACTTACGCGCAATTAAACTAAATCAGTTTTTTTTTTTTTTTTTTTTTTTTTTTAAAAAAAAAAAGATAATACTTTTAACTATTATTTCATCAAAATTTTGGTTTTAAAAAAAAATTTTTTTTTTGAAAATTTAGGATAGCAATGATGAACAAAAAAATGGATATCCGATTTCTTCTTATGGGAAGATATTAAAGAATGTAATTTGTATTATTGAAGATGGACAAATGATTGTTCCTTGGTCCATCCTGATTTAGTTAAAAAGATTTGAACTGTATTTTTTAGTAATTGATATGTATAACAACAAAGACAATGTTGTAAGTTTTTTTTCCGTTATTTCCATTTAATAAATGAGGTGCATTTTGTAAATTTATTATAGTAATACTTTGCAAGAATTGGTATATACCGTAATTATAGATGGATAATTATCCTTAAACAGTAATGAAAGAAAGTGATTATCTGTGATTTTAATCAGTACATTTGCTTTAAAATTTATAAATAAATAAATATATTTCTCTTTACACATGACAAACTGTCCCTTTTTTTTGATTACATACTTGCATGTAAAATGAATAGTTTGTATTGTTGTTATTATTGTTCACATAATTAAATTTTATGCTAAATAAAGAGAATCAGATAAATATTCGGTTCATTCATAATGTGTTGATAATAGGAACAATCACTAATGGAAGTACCTTACATAGAATGCATATCAGATAAAGCACATGGAAAAGTTGCTTATCTACAGGAGAATCAAAACAAAGATCCATTTCACATCAATTTATGAAGAAGAAAAATAGGAAGCGGATTTCCCTTCGCACGAAATCTTATTGGTTATTATACATACAACCCATGTAAAGCTGAGACTCTATAAATGATTTATTTATTTTTTTATGAAATCTTTAGAAACACGTGGTTTATAAATAAAAAACTAAAGTACATTTTATATTTTTAATAATATACAAGTAATGTAAGTAATGTAAATATTTTATGATTAAAATACAGAAATTGTACTCTATTAGTAAGGAAAATGCTGTATGAGATTTATCAATACTCCAAGAAATAGTTTGCCAAAGAAGTAACAATGACGAAGGATAGCGAAAGAATGCACATAACGACGAGACGTTTTCCGACATCTAAAAGGAAATAAGAAAACAAATAAATTAATATTAATATTACAAACCGTTGAATTACCCTGTGAAATTGTGACAAGTTACAAAACTTACGCAAACGTAATTGAGGATAAGGAGGTTGTGGTAGTTGTTCAGAGGTTACAAGATTACGATCCTGAAATTCCTTCTTTCCTTTACTGGATTCATCAGTTAGGTTGTCCAACAATTTTGAGCACCTCTCAATAGATCTTAAATTCATTTCCCTTCTATCAACGAAAAGACTTTTATCTTTTTCATCGTTAAATACTTTTGGGCTTCTTGGATTAAATTCAATTGAAATACTAAATTCCGAATTGTTTTTTTTCATATTTTCCGCTATTTCCTCATAATTAGGATACATGAATTCAAAAACTTTTTTTGCACACATCGCAATACTTGCAAAGATTTCTTTTTCTTGGTCGCTTGCTTTATTCCATCTTTCCAAGTAATTGATTTCGTTAGTCGAATCAACATTCTTTACATACATGGGACATGCTTCATAATAACAAGCTTCTAAATTTTTATTAAAGATCTCATAATCAGATTCGGGCTTGTAATAAAACCCGAATCCATGACATTTGAATTCAGGAAGGATAAGTTCATAAAGAGACGAATGTAACAAAACTTTTTCCTCGATTTCCTTTCGAAATTCGGATAAAATTACGGAGTCAATAATTTCATCTAATTTATCTTTATCAGGTAGAGTGTGTTCCTTGGTACAACCTTGTACGTGAGAGTCAAAAGACATTTTGTATAAACGAGTATAAAACTCTGTGATTCGTTGATCGTTTTCTTGGTCGAAAATTTTGTAACATCTATGGTTGGAGTAACCGTTGTCAGATTCACTTCGTGGGCGTAGAGCAAACTTGATTAGTATGTTGGATGGAACAGTCATCTTTTTCATCTTTTTGTAATATTTTACTTTTTAGTTGGATGTTTCTTTAGAGTTTTTTAGATTATGATTATTTTTTTTTTTTTTCAAGCAATTTAAATATATATCAGAGAGAAAAAAAATTTTTTTTTTTTTTAGGTTTAATAAATAAAAATTTTTTTTTAGGTTTTAAAAAAAAAAAATACTTTTTTTTTTTGAAAAAAAAAAAAAAATCAGGTTATTTAAATGAAATTCTATAAGACTTTGTTCAAAATGATTAATTTATATAGGTTGAAGCTTGATTTTTTTGTTTTGTTATGTGATTATGTTTATTCGTCGGCTAAAAACTCTATATAAGGAATAAATGATCAAAATACAGTCAGCAATACAAAAAAAAAAAATCTTTCATGTGAAATACGGTAAGATTTTGCATTTTTTTTTTTTTTTTTTTTTTTGTAGAGTTTTAATACGAAAAATGAAAGAAAATGAAAAAAGATAAAGGAACTTCTTTCAAATGACATTTATCGTTTTTGGAGGATCCACACATATTTTGCATAATTTGATTTGACATTTCGCTAATTGGATGGAAAATTAAAAATTCCTTCTATTTGAAAAAGATCGATGTGACGCGTGACAAGGGATATCATAGTCGCACGCATGTAAACAGACTCATCATCAATGAACTATAATTTTTTTGTTCCCCAACCCCCTCACATTTTTTGAACACAAGATGTTTTTTTTCCATCGAAATCCATGAACATCGGCTTGGTTTGGTTTATGAAAATTTTAGTCTACAAAAGATCGTAGATTCATTATTTTTTTGGCACATGACTTTATTTCCAAATTCGCTATTGTCTATTGTAGCACACATTAATTAAAAAAAAAATTCCGATATTTACCAGAATTTTCATTGTTTTGCATCTTTGCTATGCATAAATCAACTTCCAATTATCTTTCATATTGTTTTCGAATTTATATTTCTACTTCAAAACTTTTTTTTTTTCAATTTAGAAATTCGAACTTTTAAGTTAAACCAATGCGATTCTGATGTCAAAATTCGAAAAAGGAGAGACTTTTGCAATAGTATGAGAAGTCATTTATTAAGATAAATATTGATTCAACAAATAAGCAACAAGCTGATAAATGAAACCCTATGTTTTATTTGTGTAATCAAAATTTTTTTTCAATTCATTGTTTCTTCATATAAATAAAAAAACCGTTACGCGCATTTAATTAACACCTCCGTTTTAAGGGATAAAGTTTGGAAATGAAAAGAAAAATAAAATAAAATAATGAACGGCAAGAAACCGTTGACGATCTGGATAATATATGTTAATAACCAATTAATTCCCATATAATGTATTAAAAAATATATTATCATACCGGGTAAATGTTCATGAATTTCTCTCATTTCATTTCATTTCTTTTTTAATTGATTTCCAAATTGGTTTGGTGTTCCCTGTGAAATATTACCATGATTACGTTAAATTCTAGGTCCGTCTTTAATTTGTTTTTCTGACATGCATGTATACTTTAAAAATTGGATCTTACTTATTTAATTGATGGATGATGATCCGTAATATGCTGAAATTTATTTTGTTCAGGAATCAAATCATTCGGTCGCGTCATCGATAGAACCAAAATCAATCGTCGAATAGTTCTCATTTTACGTGTTTTGAAACAGAAATATTTTTATTTATTTATTTACTTTTTCTTTTTAAAAAACAAAATACCTTTTGTAATTATACATATTATATTATGAATATATTTATAATAATTTTTATGCATTTTTTTTTTTTTTTTACATTATAGATAAAATTAGAAAGAGGGAAGAAAATGTTTATACTACATAAATGGTTTTCAAGAGCAAGATATGAATGAAGAGTAAATACATGATATTCATACTTACGCATATATATTAACATTAAGTGAAATATTTCTAAATAAATGATTTATATGTATAAAAAGGTAAACCAAACTTTATGGCTTTTGACCATAAAATCTATGAGTTTTAAAGACCGTTTGATTCTCTTCGATTTCTTTAACGACCTCTTCCAGGAATAGGTTGTACTGTTCAGGGGTGATATTTAATTTGTTACAAATTCTGTCACTGTATCCTTTAAAAGTAATCAACAAATCGTCCATTACCTAAGAAGAAGGAAAAAAAAAGATTAAGTTCCTAATTGGACACGATGCTTGCATGAACGATCCTTGAAAATTTATACATACCAGTTCACCAATAAGACCGGCCCATTTTCCTACGGGTATATCATTTTGGAGAATATTCATATTTTTTAATCGTTCGCAATTCGAGGGTAATAAAGAAATGGATTCAGATAATGAAACATGGTTTTCGAAGCACGATATTACTAGAAGTAAGAGCGTCAAAAAAGGTTAAAATTCTCGAATCTTCCATGTAATCAAACAAGTATAACAAAGGCAAATCATGATAAACAGCTTACAGGCCGAAACCAACTTTTGAGTTACACTTCCAATATTTTCGAATTCAAAGTTCCAGGTGGTGATTTCCAGCCATGAATCACTTTTCATGATCTTAACAATGTCATTTATTATATCACTTTGCCAAAATAATTGTTCCATGTACATGTGTTCGATGAGATTTATATGTACATAAGAGAATGTTGAGGAAGAAAAGGGTAAATGTTCCGCGAGAATGAATTTAGCATTCTTTGGTTTTATTTCCGAAGGAAAGATTTGTTCGGCATCAATTCCCGTAAACGAACACCGTGGAAAATCGGTGGCCATATCTAAAATCCACGTCCCAGGACCGCATTTAACCTCGAGAGCGTTAATAATCCCCGATTCCAACAAGGAACGAATCGGTGAACTGAAATTATCTTTCCATATATGCTTCAGCAAGTAATGATGGGAGTGAATCCTGTCGATGGTTTTTGAGTCATATTTGGCATCTGACGTAATTATGTTTTGTTTTATTTCACTATTATTTGCAAAGGATTTTTTTGTGTTCAACTTTTTCGAATGTTGCGTTCCCATTTTGTTAAAATTGTTTTTATTTTTTATAAAAAAAAAAAAAAATGTGTATGATAATATAACTGTAGAACGATTTTTTATTTTTTTATTTTTTTTTTTTTAAAAAAAAATTTTGGATCAAATTTTGGGCCCATTTATATAAATCGTTTTTTATGTGTATAAAATATATGTACATAATATTTTAATAAATTTGTTGATCGGTGATGTTTGAACGTATAATTAGTAAATACTGTAAAATTATATAAATAAATAAATAATATATATTATATACATTGGATTGTTTTAAAAAAAATTAAACACACAGTTTATACAGTTTTTTTTTTTTTTTAAAAAAAAAAAAAATTATTTGTGGTAAGTTGGACTCCGATTTAATGACCTGATTTAAACATGCAGAGTTTATCGACTATTCTGACAAAAAAAAAAAAAAAAAAAAAAGGATTTTCAGGTATTAGATGTACAATATTAATATATATTTTTTTCTTCTTTTGATTTTTACTAGAAATCATGCAGGTAATTGATTGGCAATCTCTTGATTGGAAGGTTTTATAAAAACTTCATTGTTCCAATCCATGCCCATGCGATATTTTGATATTTTGACTGATTTACCACATACAGTAAATGAAATGAAATGAAACTTTGCCTGTATGATGAATATTTAATTTTTCTTATATATATATTTTCATTATTATTTTTTTTGTGAGTAGATTTTTTATTTTTTTTTATTTTTTGGTGCGTTTTTTTCTTTTTGTGCGTGTGTGAGTAGACGATTTATATTTTATTAAATATGTATATACATATTTGGAATATCTGGACAAAGTCTTTTTTTTTTTTTGATAAATCCCTCATGTCGAGTAAATTGCATCATCAAATAAGGAAAGTTCAAAAACCTATTGCTTTAACGGATTTGGTAAATATTGCTCCGAAAAGCTGTTTAGCAAAGGTTTCACGACCGAATTTTTATTCCTTCTTTATGAGACGCGTCACCAGAAAGTCGAAAGAAAGATTACACAAGCACAATAAATACTTGATGTACCTCGAGCTGTGCAGTTTTTGTACAATTCGAAAGGATTTTAATTCTTTATGCACCAAAAGAAACTTTTTTTTTTTTTTTTGTTTTTTTTTTGTTTTATCACATTACATAAGGATTGTTGATATATGAAGGACGAATAAAAAAAACGAACGTTTGTGAAGGCCACGCTTTGATAGGTGATATGATTACAAAACATAAATTCGTTTATTCCCGTTTTTTCCTTTTTTTTTTTTTCTTTAAAAAAATTTACTGGAAAGGTGGACGCCACAAAACAGTCGACATAGTCATCGATTCGACGGGGCTTTTTTCCTCAGGTGAAAAAAAGTTCATGTCTGGATTAAACAAAATTGTGCCCTTTTGTTGGAAAGGAACGAGTCACGTACGTCCTTATGAACCAAGGTTGATCACGTGAATCAACTTGGGAAATCATTTTAAAACAAAAAGAGAGTTGGGAATCTAAGATTGTGGAGATCTAAGATACATTCAAGATACATTCTAGATAAACTTAATAATATATGAAAAGTAATATTTAGTTGAAATTTGTCAAACGTAAATAAATATGAAGTTATATTTTACACTACATCAAGTACAACCAAATAAATGTAACAAGCGTCAAGAAATGGTTTTTTAATTTAATTTAATTTTTTTTTTTTTTTTTTTATTTGAAAATTTCAAACAAAATTGGTTCCCGATTAAATTCTTGTTCTCCTTTTTTGGAAAGTTCATAGAAAAAAGGGAGGACCCTTACATGATACATACATATGACCCATGCAACAGAGTAAATAAACTTCTAAAATCACGTTTAACTGCTTGATTTTTTGTGACTGTTGTGATACGGAACAAAAAGGTGGACATAAAAAAAAAGGTTCAAGAAAACAAGAATCTAAATTGATTGCAACCCCATACGTGACACGAGTGTCCGAAATGTCCGAAAAAATTTTTTTTCTCAGTGAAACTTCCATCATATGACTTACCCCTGGAT